GGGGGGCTAGATCAGTGCTGAGCCTCCTGAAGTTGACAATGATCTCCTTGGTTTTCTTGGTGTTCAGAGCCAGGTTGTTTTCTGAACACCAGGCTGCCAACTTCAGGACCTCCTTGAATGATTGAATTGAATGATTCTTTGCATATAAATATGATCTAAACATCTCTGGACCAGTTTTACCCGCAGCCGTCAGTTCTGAACATTTGAAAGGTGGAAGTGAGCCGACTGATTGTAGAACATTCTGGTGTTTGTGCTCACCGCTCTGCTGGTCGATTTAAACTAGAGCATTAGGTGGAAGCTCCAACAGTTGTCAGTGTGGTAAACCAGAAGCAGGTCAGCTTCAAGCAGCTGGTGACAGAATTTACTTCAATGCTACTGAAGCTTATTTTAGACCTGAGGACCACCAACAACATGTCAGGCTGAATACTGTTAAAAAATGACTCATAGCTTGTGACAGGTTGACAACAGAGACGCTGCTGATGAAACCTGAACATCTGAGAAAGTCACAATTTAGAATATATTCTACAGTTTGTACTTATACTTCCTACTGGCTCCTTTCTTAAATATGTTTATATTTTCTTATTTGTCTTTTTATACTTTTACTTTCATACTTTTGCACCACTGGAGTTGTCTTCTAATTTCATTGTACTTTGTGTATGATGACAATAAAAAGCATTTTATTCTATTCTATATATGTAACGATGACATGTGTAGGATGAAGTTGGTGTTCTGTGTAATACCAGAAACAAAATGCTTGTGTGGTTTTGGGTCACAGCTTCAGCCGACATCATGTTACAGTAGTCGGGTCAGAACCAGCTCAGCCCTGGAAGGCTGTGGGTCCCGACATCTCATTTCATCTCTACTCAGCGTTTGGACTTTGGAAAGCAGGACACATTTCTTAGAGGAGCTAGAAGACTTCAGCGAAACTTGAAACTGTGATCAGTGTGGACAGATGCTGCGTTCACTGTCACGCTGTAAATATGATGTTGTTCCTCCAGGTCACAGCAACCCCAGAGCTTCAGGCTCTTGAAGACGTCTCACCTTCATCCAAGAGTCTTCTTCAGGTCCACTAACTGATGGTAAATCTCAGAAATATACGATCAGGCCTCGAGGTGTAACTGGTTTAAAACTGCCAAGTGATGGGAGACTCCAGGTGTTAATGAGGTGAAACTTCCTGGGGAGGGACCTGAAGACTGCACTGTCAGTACCTGGTGAGTGGTACCATGGGCCCCTAGGGATAGAACACCCAAACACCAGCAGAGTAACGTAGACCACGTGGTCGGATACAGGAGTGCACAGACCTGTACGAAGGACGACGACTGGTTTGTGTCCACAGGAGCGTTTTGGAAATTGGCTGCACCTGACGGGACGAACGCTTAACGGTGAAAATGGTGAGAAACGAGCTGTTGAATCTGTCTGCAGTCCATCCAGAGAGATTCACTATTGATAACCTTGTGTTAATCAATGATTGATTAATCAATAACACAAACTCAGGACAGCAGACATCCTTACATACGCTGACATAACTGTTTCTGATACTGTTGGTTCAACCACAGCATTAGCTCAGTTAAGTCAGCTGATAGGCTACAGAAACACATGAACCTCCTCAGAGTCTCTGTCGTGGTCCCGTTGCTGCTAAACCTCCCACAATGCTCTCTGCTGCCAACATGAACTGTAGTCTGAGTGACGCCTCCTCTGGTCTCTACAGGATTAAACAGAAAGAGACGCCATCTGCTGGAATAACCAGATACTACAGCTGGTCTGTGGTACATTTACTGATGTGCACGGCCTTTATCTGTTGCCTGATTGGTTATTTTATTTTACTATAATCTATTAAATATTAACTGCTTTAGCGCAACTGGTTGACCCATGTGTAGGGGCTATAGTCCCCGATGCAGCAGCCATGGGTTCGAATCCCGCTCATGGCCCTTTGCTGCAAGTCCCTCCCCCATTCTTCTCTCCCACTGTCCTGCCTCATTCTCAACTGTCCTATCTAACAAAGGCCAAAAAAAACCTTTTAAAAAAATATTAACTGCAATCAATCAATTAACATTCTCATCCCTTAAAACCAGCAAGAAACAGAAGCTGAGTTTGCAGTTTAGTGGTTGAAGTCCCATGAACACCTGGAGTCACCCCTCACCTGGCAGGTAGAACTCAACAGGACTCAGATGACTGTGTAACATCTTCAGGAAGTCCCGCTGAGCCACGTTGGTCCGGTTTGAGATCCAGGAGAAGACAGAACACGGGTTAAGCGTCGTCCAATCAGGTGCAGCCAGTGTTTGTCGTAGAAGGGGGGGGGGACTGTAATGCTTTTCCTGTTAAAGAACACCTGTCAGTCACCTGTCCTGTCAGGAGGCAACTGGACTCTTCATGCTGTCTACGAAGAAGTCAGACAGTCAGACAGTGTGTGTGCAGACATGTTGGTGTGCACTGGTTTTACTGGTTTACTGGACAGTTAAATACAGTTTGATGAGTTTCAGATCAACTAATGAGGCTACAGTCATCCAGCAGTGAGGCACAAAGAAGAAACACCCCAGAAAACGCCTGATCCCCCCCCTCCAGTCTTCTAGTTTGGTTCAGTCCGGTTCCGATTGGTCACACTCAGACTCCGCCTCCTTGGCAACAGTAAACAACAACATACAGAAGCCAGGCGTCACCGCAGCGATCAATAACAGCGATAAACGTACGTGCTGATGGCGCTGCAGCTGATCAATCAATTGCTTACCGATAGATTGTTCAGAGGAAGAAGATCCAGAAAGAATTTGAAGTGATCGAGAAGTTTAACCTGAAAAATCACTGAAACAATCAGTAATCAATAACTGCAGATTAGTTCACTGTAAATCAACCAATCGATGGATTGATGGGCAGTTTCAGTGATGCTATCAATTACCGAGAGTTAATGATTATTCAGCATCAGGTTATTGATCACATATCAGCTGATGGTTCATGATCAGATCAGATGTTCTGAGATTCTGTCGTGTGTATTTTTTTTCTGAACACGCTGATCAATCACCTGTAGCATGTTTCTGCAGCATCATCGATCGATCATTCATGTTTTCAATCAGAGGAAGTTTTCACGTTCGCGGCGTCAACGCTGCAGAAGGCGGAGCCTGAGTTGTGACACAGCCGCCACCATATTGCACAACCAATCAGCTCGCTCAGCTGCTGACAGTCTGAGGATTATTGATAAGGCATTCGTCCTGACAGAAGTCCTGATCCACCTGATCGATCAGTCCGACCGCCGCACCGCTCCCAAACAAACTTATTGTCCTCAGAGTCTCTTCAAAATAAAAGCAGATGGAAACAAAAAGCTCAACACAGTTCAGTTTGTGCGTCAGTCTGTCAGGATCAGGCCCGATCACTGATCAATAACTGATGTTTCTCAGATGATTCCCTTCCAGGTTCAGTGTTAAAGGGTCAGTCTGGTGTTTTTCTGCAGGTCCAGCTGACACCTGAGAGTTTACATGTTTTATGTTTGAATCATGTTTTTTGTCCTGTGTAGGAAGAAATCTGATGTTTTTCTGAATTTTACAGCTTCAGCTGATAATTTGGTTTATCAGTCAATTAATCAATCAATCAATCAATCAATCAACTGGTAAAACTTCGGCAAATGGTGAAAATCCCACCACATTGTTTTCTCTGTGATTCATCATTGATTATTAATATCTCGTATTGTTTGAGCAGCAGCCAGCAGCCAAAACACTTACAGAGACCAAGTTCTGCAGTTTTTCTGATCAATAATCTGAAGCTCTAAAAACAGCTTCACCTTTAAACTGCAGGTAAACCAGCGTCCATGAACATCACACCTCATTTTATCTCAATGTCAGGATGAGTTCAATGTCTTATCTGAAGTCTGAAATCACCTCGCAGGAGTTCAGTCACATGTTTAAACCAGCGGCTGAATCCGAAGCTGCAGTGAAACTGAATAAAAAGCAGAATGTTTGTGGAGTTTTTCAAGTTTCATCGTAGATGTTTGAGTCTGAACGGACAATGAAACGCAGATCTCAAGGTTTAAACAGCTCGTTGATCTAGAGATGTGTACAGCAGAAACTCTGCTGCAGGAAAACTGCTGCAAATAATCTCATTCATGTATTATTCGGATTAAATGATGATTTCGACGGGAGATTTAAAATTAAACTGATGTTTCAGATAAGGCAGCAGAAAAGGTACTTTTTCACTGTGAAATCATTAATAATCTGACATTTGGACAAAACAAGACACTTGAAGGCATCACTGACAATCTCTCACAAAACGGATAAAAATAAAATGGCTGACAGAAGTCTGAGCTGCTTCAGACTCATTTCAGGAACTTTAACAAACGGTGTGAAACATTTGCTGGTTTTGGGTTTTAAATGTGAAATCTCGCTGCTTTTCTTTGTTTGTGTTTCAGATGAAAAGTTACTCATTTCTGACATTTTACCACCAAACAAATAACTGATTAATGGAGAAAATAATCAGTAGATTAATTCATTAGTAACAACAGAAATACGATCAGCAGTGATATTTATACTCAGACTTTAGGGTCATTTTTTAAGCAAAGACACCAAATATTTGTGGTTCTGTTTTCTGTCAGTGAACTGGATCTGTGGGACTTTTGAGGGCGTCGCCGAGAACCAGATTTAATCAACCCTCCTCTGTGTTTCAACAAATCTCTGCTCTCAGACAACAAAAACATCACAAACAAGACACAAAGCCTGAAAATTAGAAATGTGCTTCTTCAATTTCCTGTTAATCCTCGAACCTTTTAATCTGAGGACCTCTAATGGGCCCCGAACCTCAGGTTGGGAAACACTGAACTAATCAATCAATCAGTTTAAAATTCCAACTAAAACTGCAGGTTCAGACCTGTTTCTGATCACTAATCAATCAACCTGATCAGCTGACAGACTGAGGCACCGACAGGTGAGATGATGACCAGCAGCACACCTGGACTCTCAGGACGGTTTCTGCTCTGCTGCACTGCAGTCTGTACCTGCACAGTGTGAGTCTGTCTGTGGCCCCGCCTCCGAGGGCCCCACCTCCGAGGGCCCCGCCTCTGAGGGCCCTGCCTCCGAGGGCCCCGCCCTGCCCACATGGAGCACCCTGATTGGCGGATCAGCTCCTTCTGCTGCAGGTTTAACTTCTAATGAAACAACTTTTGCATCTTCTCCTGTTGCTCCTCCTCCTGTTGCTCCACCTCCCTCTGTTGCTCCTCCTCCCTCTGTTGCTCCTCCTGCAGTTGCCCCTCCTCCTCCCATCCAGAACTCAGCCACCACACTGATCTCCCCCCCAGGAGATCCCTGCCCTCCAGTCGCTGCTCCTCCTCCGGAGTCGACGGAGGAGGACAGAGCTTCGGTGATGATGGCGGCGGTCTGAGCGACCCAGTTCAGCTCCGCCCTCACCTCCCCGGCACCTCCTGCTGCTCCTGGAGCTGGAGGGGAGGAGGAGGGCTGTGGGTCGGTCTGAGGGCCCGGCTGGGCGGCACCGGCAGGTCCCGGACCACCAGCAGCAGCAGCAGCAGCAGCAGCAGCACTGTTGTTGTTGTTGAGGTTGTCCTGCAGAGCCGTCTGGTTCTGACCCGCCTGCTGGTTCTGCAGCAGCATCTCCTGGATCCGGATCTGCTGCAGGATGGCAGGCAGCTCGTAGTGGTGGAAGAAGTAGATCATGGAGTGCTGTGTGGGAAGAATCAACAGTTATTAACACTAAACTCATCAGGGTGGATGAATGTGAGGGGACGGGGCCCAATGAAGGTGCTGGTTCTGACCTGGATGAAAAGCCAGGAGGTGACCAGCGCCAGGCTGCTGTACTGGCCGTTGAAGCGGTAGTGATAAGCGTAGAAGGCAAAGTGGTACAGATAGAAGAACCTGCAACACAAGTCGCTTCGAATCAGTCACCAGAACAAACGGTCAGCATCAGTCAAGTGATCAGTGTGTTTGAACGGAAAAAGGAGCAGAACAACGGATCATCTGCACAGGTGAGTCACACCTGTAGAGCAACTCACCTCAGCCAGTGACGTTTGCTGGTGTTGGTGTGGCAACAGATGGCGTCATACTGGTCGGCCAACCACACAATGAGGATGATGTAGAATGCCGTCGTCGTGTCATTGAAGAACTCTGACATGATGGCCTCCATTCCTGATGATAGCAGGCATATGACCGTCAGCACAGGTGAAGAGATCAGCTGCTTCAAAAAGCTCAGAACCACAAATCAACACCTGTTTCACATTCTCACTGTGAGAGGTGGAGCCAAACACACCTGAAGCCACCGATAGGGATCAAAAAGCCATAATGTGACAAGAAACCCTTTTTTAGTTTCCAATTAGGACTGGACTCCGATCAGGACTGTCTGGACAGAGGATCAGACCCAGAACAGGACTGTCTAGACCGAAGATCAGACCCGGAACAGGACTGTCTGGACCGAGGATCACGCCCAGAACAGGACTGTCTGGACTGAGGATCACACCCGGAACAGGACTGTCTGGACTCAGAACAGGACTGAGGACCACACTGCGTGGATGAAGGATCTGATTGTGTAGATTCTGGACAGAACTGCCTGGACTCGGGACTATGTGGACTGTTTAGACCTGACTGCTTGGTCTTGATGGACCTCAGCTCAGTTTTAACAGGTTTGTGATGAGACCTCATCCTGGTTCGGTCTCGTCTTCTCTGCTTTTCCTGTGAATGGTCAGACACAGTTTCCTTCTGGTTTGGGTTCTGTTGGGGTTGTGTCGGCGGTTTAGGGGTCGTCTCTGAACCCTGAATAAAGTTGAACTGGTTTGCACAAGTTTCTCAGAACTTGATCCAGACTGTGTAAACCAGTCTGGACCGGCTTCCAGGGTGTGAACTTACCTACGAGGGCCAGGATGACAGTGAGCAGAGGTGCTGCTGGGAAGGCGATGGTCATGTTCATCTCCAACATCTGAAGAAGATCGACTGAAGGAGGACAGAGAGCAGATCATCACTTATCTCACATCACGCTAAAAATCAACAGCAGATGACATCAAGCTAAACCCGACTAAAGTGAAGCACAGTGAGTCGGGTTGTGCTGCTTCAGAGGACACTGACCGATGAAGACGAAGATCTGGTGGTGAGAGTATCTGAGCAGCATGGACACCGACAGAGTCTGAAACACACAACAAGAAAAATCAGCTCTGAGTCTGAGCAGATCCTCAGTCATCAGGTCATGGTGGTCCTCAGAACCTCAGTATGAAGGAACCAGAACTTTCTTTTTGTTCTTGAAGTTTTCACCTTGATCCAATAGGCTGAAGAACTGAAGAAGCCTCCTGGATGAAGATGAAACAATGTAAACAGCCCCCCCCCCGAAAAAAAAGAATTCTGGTTGCTTTTGACTGAAGTTCTTTGGGTTCATCAATTCTGCGCACCAACAAACCACAGCTTCCTCCGCCTGACAGTGTTGAGTGGATGTTCCACGTAATCTCCAAAGGTTCTAAACTCTCACAGACATCTCATCTGACATCTCATCAAGCTACAAACTGAGCTTCCTTGGATAGAAACTCACAAATATGACCATGATGACGAAGGCAGCCAGGTACGAGGTTCTGGCCATCCACATGCTGACAAAGCGGTAATGTTCTCCAGACACCACATTCCTCAGGAACCCTGCAAAGAATCACACAGAGAGATCATCAACGTGCAGAGACCCAGCAGGTCAGAGCAGGGCGACGAAACAAGCAAACTGTCCACGTTCTGCAGGAACCCGAGTTCTTCTGTCATCACAGAAACTAAAAATTCCAACTTCTGGAGGCGAGTAGAGCTCAGAGGAACTCAGTAAGTGGTTATTGTTGTTTACATGTATGACCACCAGTCAGGAAATGGTCCCTGGGTGGATCCTTCTGTTCTAGCAGACGTCTGATCAGATTTAATCAGAGCTGTAGATGAAGACTCAGCATTTCTCAGATAAAAGCATCG